TATTATATGATTCAAACTCGTTACTTTATATTTTTATTAAGGAAAAATTATTATTGAACTATTTAAATTATTGCGATATATACTTTTTTTTTTTTTATGTATCTTTAGACTCACAAAAAAAAGAGTAAAAAGTTTTTTTATTTTTAAAAAATGTCTAGTCTAGGAATGAAGTATACATGAGTAATTCATGACTAGAATATTTTTTATAAAAAAAATTCTCTAATGGTTAGTGAATTCAAATCCTTGATGATATAGTTATAGTATGATTTAGAATTATACATTTATAATCATATAATATTATTAAGTGATTAAATATATATAATATTATAGGTGGAATCTTAAATAAAAAAATTAATTATATAATAATATATTATAATTATAAATTTATAATAATATATAATATTATAATTATACCAATTTTGAATCTGAATAGATAGTCATACCTTCGTATTTCAAAAAATAAATTATAATAAATATCCAGACAAATGAACAATAACAATTTGCAAATTTGCAAATACTACCAAGATGGCCCGTTTTCTCTGGACTTGATTACTGTAGCCCATTTCTCTGGTCTTGATTATATATATATTTGCCCACTGGGCTTAATTTCGTTGAAAACATTTATGGCAAAACCATAAGTTAAGCCCCTGAACTAATCCCAGAATCGCTATTAAGCCCCTATACTTTAATTGATGCAGTTAAGCTCTTGAACTCTGGGATCAAAGCAATTACGCCCTTCTTCTTACACTATTAAGCCCCTAGACTTTAATTTTTAAAATAAATTGCTTAAGAAGAAGGGCTTACTTGCTTTGATCCTAGAGTTCAAGGGCTTAACTTCACCAATTAAAGTCTAGGGGCTTAATAGCCATTATGTAGTTAGTTCAGGGGCTTAACTTATCGTTTTGCCAACATTTATTATTTCGTTACTTTTCTTAAAAACGAAAGAGACATATTTTCCTCTCTCCGAATTACGAATTGCCCTGCAAAGAAACGGCCAGAGAAAAATCACATCACAGAACTGTACGCGAATCTAATCTGAAACTCTGCATAATATTTTCCGAATCAAGCTCCATTTCCTCGTAGAATTTCGCTCAATTTGCATCAGGTGCGCTCACTCAATCTCGTTCATACCACCGTCAAGATGATGGTCGAGGATCTGGGCGTGGAAGCTAAGGAAGCGGCGGTACGGGAGGTGGCGAAGCTGCTGCCGCTTCCGGAGCTCCTGCAATCCATTTCTTCGATCAAGGCCGACTATATCGCTCGGCAACAGGTTCCTCTCTCAATTCAATTGCTATCTTCTGCTTTTCTTCTTATTATTTTTTTTTATCCTTTTGTTTCGAATTTGGCTTTCAATGATGTGAAATGTGCGAGGATTTGCTCAACTGTGTTATAATTTGAGTCGTTTCCGTTTTGCGGAAACCGCTTAGTTAGAATCTGTTCATAGTGAGGTGCATTTGCTAGTTAGCAATTTATGTTGCCATGATGACAATTGAGTTTTCATGGGCTGACCCTAAATTTTGCTGGATTGGTGTGTTCTCAGGCTAACGATGCGCAACTTAGTACAATGGTTGCAGAGCAGGTATTTGCATGAATTTTATTGCCCTAGTTCCTTGTAAACAATTGTTTGGATTGCTTATGTATCATGTTTGTTAATTAATATATGGAGCCGAGGCAGCTCGGGCGGTCAATGTAGACTTGAGTTTTAATTGGTTTTGCTCGAACAATTCTCTGGACTGCAGGTTGAACAGGCACAAGCTGGACTTAAATCGCTCTCACTATCTCAGAAATCCATAAACCACCTTCGCAAGAACTTCACATCTATTGAGAAGTATGTTGTTGGTAATATAAAATTCAAGCATTTTTGTAAAATTTTGTAAATATTTTGTTTTGTTTTGTTTAATTTATATTGAGTAATTTGATCTATTTGTGAATCAGGTTGTGTCAAGAATGCCAAACATTAATTGAAAACCATGATCAAATAAAGCTCCTTAGCAATGCAAGGAATAACTTAAACCAGACACTAAAGGTGAGTTTTGTGTTTGATCTTAGCTTGTTTATGACTGCTTGTTTTGTGCTGTCAAAGCATTGAACAGATAGAAAGTAATAGTTGCATTTTTTTGGGCAGGTTTAATTCTGAGGCAAATTAATAGTTACTCTGTGTGTGCAAGTATTTGAGTGTTAGAGGGCCTGCTATTGTATGGCTAAAATTTGTTATGTATCAAATGCCGTCACTGTGTGGATGTGGCCTTTCTAGTTCTAACTTTCTTTTGAATTAGGAGAGGATGGTGATAATGTTAGGTTGAGAAGCTGTTAGTCATTTGTGTGTTAATTTTTGAAGTTTTAGCGCGAAAATGCCTTCATAAATTTCAAATTTGGACTTCAGAAGTCTAGTGCTTCTTGATGGGTTGGCATCCTGTTTAGTATATTGCTGCAATACAGTTAAGCCACTTGATCTATTGTAGGATGTTGAGGGTATGATGTCCATTTCAGTTGAAGCTGCTGGGGCACGTGACTCTTTAAGTGATGATAAAGAAATTGTGAACACATATGAGGTAGGACTGAATTTTTCTTTTCCCTTTTTTTTTTTTTTTTTTGGTCACAATCAGTTCTGTCTGATATTCTTAGTATGGAATATCATTCCCTTTTTTCATCTTTCATTTTTCATCCTTTGTAGAGGTTAACAGCACTTGATGGGAAGCGAAGGTTTGCATTAGCAGCAGTGGCATCTCATAAAGAAGAGTTAGGCAAGTTAAGGTATGCATCTCTTTCTAAGTCATTAATTGCACTAATAGTTTTTAGTGTGATCTCAATCTCAATATCATTGACTTAAGAAAAAAATGGATGTAGAAACCTGCATTGTAGCCACCAGTTCCTGCTTTGCTTTTTGTGTGTGTGTGTGTGTAATATCTATTTAGAATAATAATGCTGATTTTCATTTCTTAATGCTCTAAGGTGTAAATATGTCTAAATTTGCATTGACAACCTCTAAGTAATGTCTCCGTTAATATTGGTTTTGTCCAACTCAGAAAAGGGTACTTCCAGATTTCTTTTACATCCATTTTGGTTTCTGAATTGATAGTACTTTGGCTTTTAACTGGCCTTTGATGTCTTTGACATGGTCCTTACTGCAAAACTGGCCCTATGTTATTTGGAAGAGAAAATTCTTGTATAAAATGATAATTAGTTTTATAAATAACGTTTATGAAGTTGATTTTCATTTCCATGTTGTTTTTACTGCATAGTTTTATGTTTAATTGACTAGTTTCAATTAACTTTTTCACAACCAATGTGTCTCAGAGAGTATTTTGAGGATATTGATCAAACCTGGGAGACATTTGAGAAAACATTATGGGGCCATATAGCCAATTTCTATAAACTTGCAAAAGAAAGGTATGTCCCGATGGTTTATGAAACCCTTAAAACAATGGCTCTTTCATGTATATGAATGTCCCTTATTTATTGCTCCTATTTTGCATGCAGTCCACAAACCTTGGTTCGTGCTATGAGGTGCGTTGCCAACTGGTTTCTAAAAGCCATTTCTATTTTGTTGCTGTCCTGATATCTCACTTTCACAAGATCCTCATATATCTATATAGTTTGTGGATATCTCATTGTAAAGATCTGCTGTACTTTCAAATTTCAGGCAATAATATTTCTCTGTTCATGTTTGCTGTCAGAGTATTATTATAAAGAGCATCCTATTTTGATTTATGACCTTTTTTTTTCCCTATAATTTCCCTTGGTTTCGCTCCAGAGTTGTTGAAATGCAAGAAATTCTTGATCAACAACTTGCTGAAGAAGCAGCTGAGGCCGAGGGAGAGGGTGCAATGGCATCTATTGTGAATCCTCATGAAACTGGCAAGTAAGTATTCTGCTTGGTTCCTAAATACTATGTATTCGGCTTTAACTACTCTTCACACATTTCCAGGCTTTATTGCATCTATCAATTTTGTTAAGGTTATCATTAATGTATTGTCTGTTGATTGTGTATTCATTTGCCTGCAGAAAGGCTACCCCTGTTTCAGCTTCTAGAAATCAAACACAGAAAAAATTAAAAGTTCAGGGGAAAGGCTATAGGGATAAATGCTATGAGCAAATAAGGAAAACGGTTGAAGGACGATTCAACCAGCTTCTGACAGAGGTGCTTCTCTAATTACCAATGTACCATATTTCAATGGCTAGATGTATCTTTGTTATTATTTGTATTTTTTTTCTAACTATTTGTCTGCATCAGCTTGTTGTCAATGACCCGAAAGGCGCTATAGAGGAAGCTCGAACGGTATGCTGTGCTGATCCCTAAAATTTCTGAAAACTTTGTGCATCTTGTCTTTCAGGTCTGACTAGCATTCAAACTGTTCCTTACTGTCAATTCACAAAATACTAAGATTCCTCTTGCTGCTTCATGGAGTTCATGTTGTCAATAAAAATTTTCTGATGATGAAATTAAGGTGGAAACTGAACATTTTATTGGTGTGTTGGTCACTTGGCAACTCAGCAGACTTCCACCTGTAGTGGTATTTTCTGGGACAATTATAAGAGAATTTCAGTTTATTAAACTAAAGAACTTGTCTCCTGAATAGAGGAAAAAAACTATAGAACTTGCCAAATTCTGTGAAGACCATGGCCTTTTCTTATGCAACTAGAATGGGTTACATAATATTATGAGGATTCTATTCCTTTTCCAAGCATATAGCTTTGAAATTATAGGTTTTTTTTTTTCCTTTTATTTTGGCCAATTTGGAATCATAGTTGAATGCCAATTTTTACTATTATAAACTTATAAAAGCAAATGCAAATAGTGTCCCCTTGTCTATTACTCTATTTTGAATTGTTGTGCATAAATTGTTGTTTTGTCAAAGCAGTGCATTCATTTGTGTTAAGAAATCATACTTCGAAGTGCTCTCGTGAGATCTCTGTGTGGGTTGGTTATAATTTTCTTGATTATAATTTAATTTTGTTTTCTTTTTTCTGTTAGATTGGAGAAGAGCTTGGAGATATTTATGACTATGTAGCTCCATGTTTCCCTCCAAGGTTGGCCCCTCTCAGCTCTGCTACCTTTTCACTTTATACGTACTGGCTTTTAGATGGATGTCCTTACACTCTCTAGCTTCAAGCTCTGGAACTGAGAATCAGATTTTGCTTGATATCCTTTTATATCTTTACGGTTGTTCTTTTAAACAGATTGTCCTGATGTTCACTAATTTTCTGTTAGATCCAAGGATTGCTTTCACTTGTTTTAGTTTGTCATCTATTAAGGGCATGTAATTAAAACTCTTACTGGTTTAAGGGGTAGTTTAAAGAGTTTGTTTCTGTTTAACTACTTTATCCAGGCATGTGACTATGGGCTGGGACTGGGTGTCAGGTTTGTGAAGATGCCCTTGTGCTACTGTGCAGCTTGGCAAGCATTTATCTTAAACAATGCATTTGTGCTTTATTCACTATGGTTTGGCCTTCCTTTCTGGCAGATATGAAATATTCCAGCTCATGGTGAATCTATACACTGAGAGGTTTATCCAATGGCTTCGATTGCTGAGTGACAGAGCCAATGATCTAACAAACATAGAGATATTAAAGGTTTCTTCCAGGATCCTTAATGGGTTTCAAATATGTTATCTCAAATTGAGCTATTCATTTTTGTTGAGGAGTGTGAATTGTATCCATAATAATAGAGTAATAGGGTAACACTATACTTTTCACTTCATTGTGTTACTAGTTTTTATGATTTTATCTCATATGTGTTGCATAGAATTACTATCGAGGCAGAGTTCATTTTCAACAGAACTTAGAGCTTTTCATAAGCTTACCCTTGTTTTCAATTTATGCATTTTTATTATTAGATTAGAGGTACATAACCTTTTTTCCAATAAAATTTTGAGGTGTGGATTACTTTTTAATTGATCGATGGAGACTACCAGTATTCTACTTCCTCACACAAATCAATTAGTATAAAAACTCATTAGTCCAAAGTATTGCTAGTAGATTTATAAGACCAGCAACCAATGCTGAACCAGCACAATAGACAATAAGTTTAAGTATTTCACTGTTGTTTCTTGTCTTTCATCCATGATTTACTCTTTTACTTCCGGTACCAAAGTTGTAAGGGTTTTTGGTGCTTGTTAAAGTTTCATCTTACCATTTATATAAGTACATTACATCCTCTCTTTTTTTTTCCTTTAAATCTTAGTAGTACTTCTATATTAGTTTATAATTATAGTTGTTAGTGCTTGTACTAGGTAACCGGTTGGGTAGTTGAATACCAAGAAAGTCTGATTGGGCTTGGTGTTGATGAAACCCTTGCTCAAGTCATTTCTGAGAGTGGTGCTTTGGATCCTCTCATGAATTCATATGTTGAGAGAATGCAAGCGACAATGAGGGTAATAACATGCAACCTTATTGCTTCTTTATGTTTTACTTAAGAATGAAACTTAATTCTCCTTGTTTTCTCATTTGGTTATTACTTTCATTCATTCCATTTCTAGAAATGGTATTTAAACATCTTGGAGGCTGATAAAGTGCAACCACCAAAGAAAACAGAAGAAGGCAAGTTATATACTCCAGCTGCAGTTGATTTGTTCAGGATCCTTGGCGAGCAAGTGCAAACTGTTAGGGATAATAGCACTGATGTAATGCTATACAGGAATGCTTTGGCCATTATTCAGGCAAGTTAGTGGAATTTGAAGGAATTAATGTTGCATTTCAGTAACTTCAGTATTTAAGTCAGAAATCTGGAGACCTACTAAAGGTTTAGAAACATATTAGAAAATATTCTCAAATATGAGATGTCTGGAATCAAAACCTTTTTTTTTTTTTTTTTGGTTATCATGGTTGTAAAACCCTAAGCTGTTGCCTCTTTTGATTCTTTTTTCAAAAAAAAATCTTTTTCTTCTTTGTTGTATTATCCAAACTGGTAAAGTCTTTGACCATCTTAGACGTTTTTACATTACGCGGGACTGTACTAGTTTTGTGCCCTTATGTGCAGTTGCACAAATTGGTTTGCATGAAGGTTCTAACAGTGACCAAAGATACTTTTCTTTTGGTGTTAGCATCAATAAAGTCTACCTGTATACATTTTTCTTTTTGCATGTTTATGTTGGGGGCCCAACTTTTCACAGCTTGATTTCATTTTTGAGTCTTTGAGAATCTTTGGTCAATTGCTTTATGTTTTCCTTTTCACTTTCTGTTTATCTCTGCTACTCTAGTAAACCTTTTTTGCTTTACAGGTGATGATTGATTTTCAAGCAGCTGAAAGGCAGAGACTTCAAGAGCCTGCTTCTGATATTGGTTTGGAACCTTTATGTGCAATGGTTTGTGGAATGTTTTTGTTGTGTAGCTTGTGGTACTCAGGAGCTTGTGTGAAATTCTATTTACCCTTTCCTTTCTTTATTGACACTGCATCCAGATTAACAACAACTTGCGCTGCTATGACCTTGCATTGGAGCTTAGTAACAGCATCATAGAAGCTCTTCCACCAAGCTATGCTGATCAGGTTTCAATATTTCAACTTTTTCTCCTTACTGTCTTCTTTTTGGTTACTTTTCTGATAAGACTTGGTATGTTGAAGTGGATCTCTATCTATTTCCCTGTAAGACATTCTTTTTAGCTTAATTTTGTTATATTACCTTTTTTTCATGACTAAGCTATGCTTTTATTCTTTTTTGCATCATCTAAATTTATTCAAAAAAAAAAAGTTACTGGTCCTGTTCCTGACATTTCACTGAATTATTATCGAGTCCCAACCCTGGTTTTTGATGCTGGTTCCAATTTGTTACCTTAACTAGCAGCACATTATATTGTAGAAATCTTACAAGAATGTCAGTCTTAAAAATATTTGTTGTGTGACATGATTTTCTCGTATGTTATGCTCATCTCTAGTTTTAAAATCCTTAGTTGCTTCCTGCTTTCTTCTCTGTGTTCCCTTTCTCTAGGATTCTTAGATTGCCCTGATTAATATTTAGGAGTTAGGTACTTTGTCCCAAGGTATTTCCTTCTTTATCTGTTAATTTGGATAATTGGGTCACAACCCTTTTGTGCTTTTATATCTCCTACAAGAATGTTAACAAATATCCTGGATTTATGACTGTGACTGAGTAGTGAAAGCTTGGCCTTAATAACACCTTGTGTTTAGCTTGAGAAGCTGATCATGAGCCTATACTCCTTTATTTGGTAGTTGTTTTGGTAGTTGTTTCAACTGTGGTACAGGCTTAGCATCCTTGAACTAAATTTATTTAGGTTAAGGAGTTTTACTCTTTAACATTGAATCTTTTAGGATATTTATAGCATTATATTCTAATTTCAGAATTGTTATTTTTTGGTCAATTCTACAGGTTACTTTTGAAGATACATGCAAAGGATTCCTAGAGGTTGCAAAGGTATGTTTAAATTTGAAGGATCTTGTTTGATTGATTTATTGTAATGGCATTCTATGTATTTGCAGAAGTTCACTTTAGGTCTACAACTTATATCTAAATAATGCACTATTGATAGGAAGCTGTTCATCAAACTGTTAATGTTATCTTTGAAGATCCTGGAGTGCAGGAGTTGCTTGTTAAGCTTTACCAGAAAGGTAATGTTTTTTTATTAATACTGCCTTTTGGTTAGCTTGAAAGTGGCTGGTTGGTTGAAATGTAATTGCTTACTATCTTGCAACTTACAAGTGCATCACATATTCTGGTGCAAACGCAATTAGTTAGTTCTCATTACCAGAGGAGGGAGAAAAAAGGTTGAGGAGTCCCCTTTTGATTGGTGAATACTATTTTCCTTCCAATTTACCTTTTATATAGGATGATACTAGTGATAGACTACTATTTTGCCTTGTTGTAGCACAAAATTTAATTTAATTATTAAGATTTGTAATTTGTTTTGTTCCCAAATGCTGATGTTATGTGCCCATAAATGTTAATGAAGACACTATATTGATGAGATTTTTTATTATGTTTTAACGAAAAATCTCTTTAAACGGTTGTTTCTGCTTCTGAGTTGGGTCATTTATCTTTTCTATGTTTCAGACTGGTGTGAAGGACAGGTCACTGAATACTTAGTTGCAACATTTGGTGATTATTTTACAGATGTTAAGATGTAAGCTATCTTCCCTCTGAACTTGCATATCTTTGGAAGAAGGCTGAACTTTCATTTCTCTAAGGTTCATTTCTTACATTCTCAAGGCATATAAGAAATAAATTTGTATTTTATTGGTTTAACAATCTTTTGACATTAAAAGTGGTCTCCAATGGATTATGCATCTAGGAAACTAAGTCCATTTTAATTATCACCTGGAAGGCCACCTCTTTTCATCAAATGGATGAAAAACTGTGAGTTTCTTCAGAACTCACATCCAAGCATCCAGAAGTGGTTCAAAGAGTGTTAACATATGACAGCCCCAGGATGGAAACCAGCTTTGTTGGTGAATTCCTTCGATAGCCTTATCAAAAATCTGATAATAAGTTCAATACAAATACACACACAAAAGTTAGCCTGATGTTAGAAGTAAGCAGCCCTGCTTGCTTCCAATAGTTGTCCTCTATCTAATTTCGTGCTATGTTATACCCTTTAAAATCTTTCACCTCATCGTCTTAGACTTTGATTATTACCTCTTCTGGGCCTGGTCTCTGTTTATGCCATAGATTTTTGCTTGTATATACCTGGCTCACTCTTATTTTTTCTTGTCTATTCTTAGTTAATACTGTTGTTTCTTATTCCTTTAATGTGATCATACAAAGGTACATTGAAGAACGATCTTTTAGAAGATTTGTTGAAGCTTGCTTGGAGGAAACAGTGGTTGTCTATGTGGATCATCTGTTGACACAGGTTTTATCTTTTTGTTCTTATTTTTAGGCAAAATTTACCTGGATTATTTGTCCTGTTGTTATTGTTCTTACAGTTATGGGGATTATGGTTGTAGAAAAATTACATCAAGGAAGAAACAATTGAACGGATGAGGCTAGATGAGGAGGTTCTTATGGACTTTTTCAGGGAGTACATTAGTGTATCTGTAAGTGCTACTATTTAATTTGGACAGTTTCTCAAAAATTGCCTTGTAATAATATATGTTCAGTTATCTTCTAATCTGCTGTGACACACTATCACCCATTCTCTTTTTCTTGTTGGATATAGTTCTTTCAAAATTGCTATAATGGTTATTCTGCATCCCGGTTCTTTTAACTTCTGCAGAAAGTTGAAAACAGAATCCGTTTACTGAGTGATCTAAGAGAACTTGCTTCAGCGGAGAGCCTGGACACCTTCACACTAATCTATACAAATATTCTAGAGCATCAACCAGATTGCCCGGTATACATTAATTAAATAATAAGCTGCTATTTAATTTGCTTTTGGCCTGTAGTCCAAATTGGGAGGGATTTAAAGTCATATCTTTTATTATCTATTCAGAGATTGTATTAAGTTTGTAGAAGTCTATTCCTTTTAATGTGTTTCCAATGGTTTCTGCTGTGGATTTGTCTGATATATGAATTTTCTGATTACAGCCTGACATTGTTGAGAAGCTTGTTTCTCTGAGGGAAGGCATACCACGCAAGGATGCCAAGGAGGTAAATGCAAACCCCCTAGGATGTAAGGAAATAAAAGGACTAAGTGAAAAAAAGAGGTCATAGCAACAAAAATGAAGTCATGCTTTTTGCTTTTGTCAGTTATTTAAGATGAAGGAAAGAGAACAAATAAATATATTTAGATCAAGGAGATTAATTTTCCTGCCTTTTCCTTGCTTTCATTTTGGCTAGAATTTATTTATTCTTTCACTTTCCTTCCAATCAATCAAGGGAAGTATCCTCCAATTTTAAATTTTTTTTCTTCACCCCTTTTCCTTTCATAACCTGCCACTGTTAGAACATTTGAGGCTGATAGAGTTTATGTTCTCTGGGGCCATTATGATGTGCTATAGAACCTGTTTATTGATGGTTTCTGTCAAAGTATTGTGATGATTCCTTGAATTGATGAAAACCAAAAATGGAGATATTTTTATGGCTCCTACATGGTACACAGATTAAATTACCCAGCCATCTTGGAAATGAAAGAGGACAAACGTTTGTAGCATTAGTTTTCATTTCATTATCTTCCATGTATTCTGTTGCTCAAGGATCCCATCTTTGAAACATTCTCTTTTCTACAGGTTGTACAAGAGTGCAAAGACATTTATGAGCACTCTCTTGTTGGTGGAAAGCCCCCAAAGACCGGATTTGTTTTCTCAAGAGTGAAGTGTTTCCAATCTTCTTCCAAAGGATCTCTATGGAGAAAGCTGACATAGTTAAATTGAAGCACTTGGGATTTAATAGCCTGACACTGTAAGTTCACTGCTATTTTCCATTACAATAATATCTTTGTTGGTCAGAAGGTGATGAGTGATGGTGTTGTTTATAGGACGAGATGAAAGTATCATTCTTTTTTGTCTTTATTTATATTAATTATTGTACTGCGTATCAAGTTCAATTTTCATCAGAATCGTTCACTTAGATATTGATGGAAGACAATAAGGATTTGTTCCTGCTTTTGTAAATGAATTTTATATTACTAGTGTACAACATTACATATAGGCTGCATTAATGCATCACTTGCAACATCCTTTATTCATTTCTCTCTACCATGGTAAACTTGTGGGAGTTCACTGGCCTTTAGAATGTAACCTCCAGCTCAGGATAACATTTACGTTACTGGGAGTCAAACATCCTGACCTGTATTAATGTCACTGAGTTGTTTTGGATGCTATCTGTGATACCATGACCTAGTTCAGTGATTTAAATTGAAGGTGATGCAGTTCATGGCGTTAAGGTTCTCGACTGGCTATTTGACCTAGATGTTGCATTTTAAAGGTCAATGATCTAAATGTTTGTAAACCAAAGACTCAGTGACCTCCGTAAAATTTACCCGCAAACAGAATTACCCTCAAAACCCTGCTCTGTTTCTGTGTTTCCTTCTCACTTTTCTTCAGCCCATGCCTGTATGAGCTTTTAAAAGACAATTCCTGACACGTGTTTTTGCCTTTTTTTTTTTTTTTTTAAATCCTCTTCTTTCTTTTGTTTCTCAAATGGCGACTCATCTACTAGAAGAATAAAATTGACCCAATTTCAGACTTTTTCAACGACAAATCATTTCCCTGTGTGACTGAATTCATTTAATCCTTAATTCTAACAACTATACTTCACCATTTCAGCTGCAAATTACAGAGATGATGATTTTATGTATTGTTTTGGAACACAGTGTTAACGTTTTCCTACAGAAACTGTACCACATTAATCATCACAAGAATGTTCCAAAATGCCAACAATATCTGCTCGTTGTTCAGCCGTTAGTTCTGTTGGAAATTCAATCAGGAAGACCAATATCATGTCTCCTCTCTTTCCTTGTTCTTTAGGGTTCGGCATCCCTTCCCCGGAAATGATCTTTTGGTACCCAGGATGGATGATGTCTTCTATTGTTATGTCTGTTTTTTCTCCACCAAGTAATGGGATGGGGATGGTGCAGCCAGTAAGGGACTTAACTAGAGGGATGGATACTGCCAGCTCCAAGTCGTCACCTTCTCTTCGGAAAAGATGGTGTTTTCTCTCGGCAATCACGAAGATTATGTCCGCCGGCAATGATCCAGGTCTCTCGTTCCCCATTCCCTCAAATGTTATCTTTGTTCCTTTCTTCCATCCTGGCTTCACTTTTATCGTTAACATTTCCTCTTCTTGAATTACTTCCCTGCAAATATATGTCAAAAACCTGGAGGTATTAACAAAAGTCCTTGGAATGATTTCTTCTTCATTTCATTCATATATACATACCCGGATTTTGTAGTGACCTCTCTTGTTATTTTGATTCTCTTCTTGCATCCGAAGCACAATTCCTCCAGCGTACACTCCAGTTCCTTCTCGATTGGCGGAGGCTTCACTAGTCCTGTAGAATTTGAAAACAAGATTGGAGTACTGCTCTGGCAGCGGCTGGTGCTCCTTGACAGACT